TACACACGTGACCCTCCTTCCCCGTATCCGTCTGGCCTTCAGCGCCCGTGACTGGCTGTTAAATTTTATTCTCCCAGACCTTTCAAATGTTTGCATTTCCTAATACAACAAACTGGCATTGCAGATCGTGGGGTAAACCCAACAACTCTTTCCCCCCCCGCCCCCTGCCTTGTCTCATCTGAAGTCCTACCAGCAATTCTCATTTGAAAACATAAGATGACGTGGGGTTAAATCATTACAGAGATAAAAGCTAGAGAAGATGAAAATAAAAGGAGTTGTTGTTACAAGCCACACTTTGCATGCCTCCTGCTTATACCCATTTTGTAGATGGGATAGCCAAGGCACAGAGAGGTTTAAGTGACTTACCCAAAGCAATATAAAATTTCTCCTCCGGGGAGGACAGGGAAGCAATGGTAAAGGTGAGGACAAGTTCCTACAGCGCACAGGACATCAGCTGGTCCCGAGCAGTGTGATTTTGAAGATGCAATAACAGGGACAAACACCTGGCATCTGCCCTCCACACTCCGAGCTGTGCTGGATCCAAAGCTCTGGCCAGACACCGACCCGCGCTGCCCTGCAATGCTGAACTGTGTCAAACCCTCCTGATAATAAAGGCAAGGAGGAAAGAAAAGGGCATTGCTGCAGCTGCACGTGGCAGAGTTTTTCCACTTTCTGCCTTATTTCAGAATGCTGAAACAGCAACACATTCAAACATCTTTTCTTAAGAGTCAACACATCAAATGCAGGCAAAACTTTCTTGCTAAACCTTGATTTTGTCCCATTCAGCCCAAATGGTATAATCAGATTTTTTAATTTTTTTTTTTTTTTTTTTCTCCAAATGCCCTCTTGGCTCAAAGAGAGTGAGCTGTGCTCCTGAAGCGAGTCACAGCGCTGTTTTCCAGCCTCACTTGCACTAGAAAGAGAGGAGCATAGCGGACAACAGGTTAAAAAGCCCCAGCACAATGAAGAGGTGCTCTGTAATTAAAGAGGAAGGAAAGCTGTACAGGAGAATTCCTCCCTGCCCCGTGGTAGCCACAGTCTCCCGAGGTGATGCTGAACAGGTCACACAGACACACACACACACAAAGGCTCCTTTACTGGTGCCCCACTAGAGAGTCCCGAGACCTGACACACCAAGAAGTCAAACCCCAAAGAACACAATTAAAGGCAATGAAGTAGAAACGCAGTTGGGGAAGGGGGAAGGCAAAGTGCTGAACAGCAAAAAGCCAACATAGGAAACTGTGGATTAATAAACCTTAACCTTTGTTCTGTCCCTGTCCTGTAATGCTTGCTTTGGGCAATTCACTCTCCTTTTCCCCACCTGAAAATGGACACAGGATTCATCTGAGGATCACTGCTGTACGCAGGGCATTCAGACTGAGCGGTGCTAAGCAGATAGAAAACATCACAAAGAAACAGATAACCTCAGAAATTCCAGGTGGTATGTAAGGAATAAAGCAGGAACCACTAACTCAGTGAGGGTCAACATATTCAACAGATGTCCCGTTCCCCAGGCGAAGGGATGCCACAGAAATGCAGAGACAAGAGGAGGGGGAAGGCAGCTAGAAAAGCCTAAAAAAAATAAAATAAAGCCCAAGCAAGTCTTTACACCAATCAATCATAATATGAATGCATAAATAAGCAGAATGTCTATATATAAGGTGCCAAACTCTAGCTTGTAAGTTTTAAGGGCACAAATCTAAAACAAGCAGCATGGGAGAGCTGGGACAGCCTGATGAAACTACCAAGAACAGACTTTTAAAGAACACAACTGAAGGGCTGTCCTGGAACTTCCCAGTCCATCAGCTCTTCTTCTGAACATTTCCTTTGTCTAATGCCAGGAGAAGAGGAAAGAGCGCTCACATGCCATTTTTTCCCCCCAATCAACAAAATATGCTAACTACATTGCACTTCACATACTGGTCTACAGACCGTGTGCTGCGATACCTCAAACATGAATAGCATTACACAAAAGCAAACGTTACTTCCCCAAGTCTAAAAATAAGTCTACCATATTTTCAGATACCACAGTCTCCAGGAACATTTGGAGTGGAAAAAAAAAAAAAAACAACACACCATACAGTTCTACATTACTTAGATTATTACTGAAAAAGACATGAATTGGAAGTCAAGAAGCGCCTGGGACAGGGTTGTAATGTTGGTCAGCCTAAGAGGAGGGATAAAAAACCCTCCACATCACAGCTCAATTTTCCTTTTATTTTGTAACGACAGCTCAGCACGTGTATTTTAATCCAAAAGGGGAACGCACACGCGGCATGTTTTCTTCCCAGCTTTTCTGTTGTGACCTCTCTGAGCAATACCTGTCCGCAGGATAAAAGCCTGTCCCTGCACAGGCGTGTATCACAGACGTGAACTCTGTACAGAGCACACGACTTTCTACCTCCCAAGGCACATAAAAGGAAAACACAGTGTTTTGTGAAACACAAGCAAGATAAGCACACGACTACTCCCCTCAGAGCATGGCAGTAAGAAACCAAAGTATTAAAGGTAACTTGAGCCTGGGAAGAACTCACAGTTCATAGGTGCATAGTGCCAAAAAAAGTTAGGTTCTGATGCCCAAAGATTTGAGTTTTTAAACGCCAAAGTACACTCAGGTACACTACTATCAGTGAGTAACATCTAGAGACTGCTTCTAGAAGTTTGTGGTTCAAAACACGCTCTGTGAAAACATTTTGAATTTAATCAGCAAAACTGCATTTTCCACTCTGAAGTTACACATGAAGCGAGCGCTCCATCAAAGCAGAAAACCTCTGCTGACCACCGCAGCACCTCGCCACTTCTGTCCATCCCCAATTTCTTGTGGATTTTGGTTGGATGGCGACTGGCCAGGGACTTCACAACACGGACACCATTTCAGGAGGTACCGCTGAAAACGTAAGGTGATCTCAACTGCGGCCTCGTTACAGTTGAATGAATTTTAGACTTAATTTTTAAAATTCTTCCAGAGCCACTCGAAAGACGTCACAAGTTGACTTCCTTTACCCCAAGCATCATTCCTTCTCCTTCCCCCTCCCTAAAGCAGCAGAGCAGAAGTGATTCAGTAAGGAAGTAAGAATGCTTATAGCCCACACGGACAGGTCAGGCTAATGAAGAGCACACCCAGAAATAGAAATGTAAGACCATAAGACAGTAAGCCCAGAGTTCCTCCCACAATTATAGTTCCTTTGACAGCAAAGAGATAATTCCAGTTCAAACCTGAGGCGGTGCAGAGGTACCTAAAAGGACCAAACATTGGACCCATGTACATGTGCTTCTGTTTGACCAAAAAAACAATCCAAATCCTTCACCGTGCCTTGCAGAGAAGCGTCACAAACATCACACAAAACACCAGCACTGTCTCAATTTGAAGCAATGATTTTAAACAGCTCCACACATGACTACCGGCCTGTAATTACTACAGAAAAGTCGTAACGCAGCTATATTAAGTTACAGTATTAGCATACTGACACTGCATCATATGCCAGCGGTGTTGCATCATCACCCATTGATGTAACCTCATGACTATGTAATGCTGTTAGGGATGGTATTAGCTACTCCTTTGTGTTTGCATCTCTGAGGAAAGAGAAATATATTGGGCTGCCTCCATGCTGCTCCACTGCTGGACACCGAGTGACCACAGAGACACAACTCTCTCTCTCTTCCAGTGAAGCTCAGCAAGGTGGCTTTCACTTCAAGTACAGAACTTGGTCCTTTTCACAAAGTTCAGCCAGCGCATGCTAACTGGTAATATATTCACTCTTTTTTCCAAATTAGAAGAGCATCAGCCTGTTGCTGACCCCTAGACAAGGCATAAGGGGGGGGTGAGCTCTCACAGCCTCAATGCCAAACAGCGATGCCCGCCCCATTCTCAAAACCAGATAGTTGTGGGGAGAAAAAAAAAAAAAAAGAAACTAAATAAATTCCAGCCCTGAAAGCAGGGTATTTTGTGATCCTATCTGAGATACTTAACCGCAGAGCCTCGCTGCCTCCAGGATATCACAGCCCCATTTCTCTGACCAGAGCCTAACAGTCCAGATACACCGAAGGTGACACCAGCGGGGAGTAAGGGAGCAAGACGGGTGGGACTGCGCCGTCCCGTATGTGCCACGGTCTCGGGTGGCTGTGAGGTGGCACTTGGGGGCAACAACCCTGCTGACAGGCAGCTTCCCCCTCCTCCCCCAATACAGCACGGTCCCCACTTAGCTCAGGGGGAGGCTACTGGCTTCCCCAGGGCCTGAACCCCAGCAGACACCGGTGCCTATCGCTGCCATATCCCACGATTTGCTGGGACCGACCGTTTGTCCCCAGTCTTGGGTCTGTAGAACGCATGTGCCCAGCAACAGGCCGCCCAGGAGACAGTTCTCTTACACAAAAAGCTCTCCACAGGCTCCACATCCCTTTATTTCATGCTTTCTGCTGCCTCTGGTCCCCTACCACCTCGTCCTCTCCAATACCAGCACATCTCTTACGCTCCTGCTTCTTCCTACCCACGTCTCCATCCACTTGAGAGGCTGGTCAATAGTTTGTCTGAAGGAAGGAAGGTTTCGCCCTCTTCTCCCACTGATGCATGGCAGCTTCCAGCCTACTGGCATGTCTTATTCCCAAAGGCCCCTCTTCCTTTCACTTCCTGTGTAACTGTCTCTACAAGCAGCTCTGCTACCTCTGCTTCCAGCTGCATTCGCAGGCGGGCAAGCGAGGGAGAAACATGAAAGTCAGACACCTGCAAAAGAAGCTGGAAACCAGGATTAGGGCCATGACCGCAAATCAGTGCTCGGTGACAGTCGGTGTGGGGTCCATCAGCTTGGGAACCTCTGTCCTGGGGAAAGGGGTTTACCTCATCAAGTACAAAAATAAAAGAGTGTGGAGCAGCCAGAAAAAAAAAAAAAAAAGACAAGCGAAAGTAAAACCTAAGGCATATAGAGAACGTAAAATAATTTTTAAAAAAACCCAAAAAAGTAAGCAGATGCTCTAGAGAAGTCAGTACGTGCATCCCGACTTACGGGCGTCCCCAGCTTTGTGGTTCCAAAGCAGCGACTGATGCCAGTTTTCAGGCACCGACACCCC